CAACTTTTAAAAGTAAAAATCTATCTAAGATTTTACGTACATTTACGACGAGAGTATTGTGGAGAGCAAGAAGCAGCTTTAGTTTGTATAAAGGATAAAAGTCGGCTATTTACGGGGACCGCCTATAAAATAAAAGCCGGCGGCAAGTCGTAACAACACTTCGACGTATTACACCATTTGCTTTTTATTGTTCAGTGGGTTTATGTTACCGTTTACGCAGCAGCAAGTGTACTAAACTACGCAAGTACTTACATTGTCTGGTATTATACACATTTGACGAGTTTCAGATATCATTGACGTCATACATGTAAGGTAAGACGTCGATGATTGTTTTGCATTTGCTCCAAGGTATTTTTTTAATGTGGAAAAATCATCAGATGTCGTCGTAAACTTTGAGAAGCTTTGAGCATTAATCACCACGCTTGTTCAAGACGTGTTGGCGATTTTAAACCTATAATTAGTAATCATACGCCCTGGTTTTCTCACTATATTTCCTTCATAACTGATGACTACCATGATAGATGATACCAACGGCAAGTACCAATGTGACTTTTTCCGAGTTATTATGTACTTTCTGAGATTATTCAGACACTACTGACAAACGGTGAAGGAAAACATCGTGAGGAAACCTGGGCTTATAATTTCTAATTATAAGTTTGTAATCGCCAACCCGCATTGAGCAAGCGTGGTGATTAATGCTCAAACCTTCTCCATGTGAGAAGAGGCTTTGCTCAGCAGTGGGCATTTATAGGCTGTTGATGAATTAACTGATGACTTGTAATAATTTTACAAAGTACACACATACAGCTCGGAAGAAGTCGCATTGGTGATTGGCAGGTTTAGAACTCGTATCCTCATATATGTATGAGCCGGGCAACCGCGTCATAAACATATGAATGACTAAAATTGGACATGGGAGATTATTTAGGTAGGTATTACGAAGGTATCTACTATATTGCAGTGAGAATCAAAGTCTGTCGGATCAAAATAGTATAAAGTGTGAACGGGGCATTTGATATTCACTTATGCTACGTAATCTGCGTTGTTTAACGAAAGTAAGTGTGGGAGAGCCATCCTTCGGCACGAATGGGCCGACTCGACCGTAGTGATACCACGGCCTCACAGAAAACCGACGTGAAACAACGCTCGCGTTGTGTTTTGTCGTGTGAGTGAGGTTCTCAGTTTTCCTAATCCCCGAATCCTCCACAATGCACAAATTATCAATTGCCAAAAGGCCGATTGGCGGCGCCGATTGCTTACCATCAGGTGATCCGTCTGCTCGTTTACCGGCTTATGCCATAAAAAAAGTAATAGGTATATTTGACTCCAAATATTTCTCAATTATAGACTAACTTTCTTTGTATATTATATTTTTCTAATAACAATAACAGTAGTTTAAAGTTATTGTCCTTTTAACTTCAAAAACATTTGCATAATTGGTTTTGAGAATGTGTAAATTAAAAATTAGATATCATTTATCTCCATAAATGTCCTCATTTGGTTCATTACGAACCGGATTAGCATTTTGATTATGCGATGGAGGAAGATTTACTGCCTACTCACTGATATACATACCAAGTTCTCATTCGTATTAGTAGTGTTGTTGAGGATATGTGTTTTTGTGTTTTAATATTATGTAATTCACAAGTACAATTTCAAATAAATTAAACAAAGTGTAATTAAAATGAAGACACTAGTTTTGTTTGTATTAAGTGTCATGTGTTTAAAATGTTCATCACAGAGTTCCGAAATACGTGATCGTGAATTATTACTAAAGATTCAGATATTTCAAAATTATCTCAAGTCCACCCAGAATTCAGATTTATTTACCAACACGAAAGTCGGATTCGACATACAACAGTATAAGGCTGGCCTGAGTAATGAAGATATACATTTAAATATTTCTCAATTAATATTTAAATATGGATACAAAGTGGAGGAGCACGAAGTTATTACCGAAGATGGATATATTTTGACTTTGATCAGAATCCGCAGCGAAGGACCTGTTATATTCTTAATGCATGGATTGTTAATGAGCGCTGACGACTGGGTGACGGCGGGTACAGAGAGTGGGATTGCCTATTTACTTGCTAACGAAGGTTATGATGTGTGGATGGGGAATGCTCGAGGCAACACACATTCGAGGCGACATAAGACGTTGGCACCCTCTTCGCAAAAATTTTGGGACTTTAGTTGGGACGAGATCGGGCGCTACGACCTCCCAGTTATGATAGATTATGTTTTGGATGCAAGAAATCAGACGACGCTAATTTATGTAGGTCATTCCCAAGGTTGTACATCGTTTTTGGTCATGTGCTCAGAAATACTTGCATACAATGACAAAATATCTTTGATGGTTGCGTTGTCTGCGCCGGCCGCCCTACCGAACATGAAAAGTCCTATCTTAAATTTTTTAAAGACTGTAACGCTTTACCATCCTGAACTTCTATTTTCACTTCTTAAAGAATTAGGTATTTATGAATTCTTACCAAGTGTCAACATAACAGCATCTTTTCGCGAAACCATATGTGGAACAGAGGAGCTCGCGAAAATTGTGTGTACTAATATTGTGTTTGCGTTTTGTGGATTTGATGCTGCGCAGTTAAATGTTACGAACTTACCTGTTGTATTTGCTCACACACCGTCTGGAGCAGCAACTAAGCAGATCGAACATTATTCCCAATCTTTAATCTCGGGTAGATTTCGAAGGTTTGATCTTGGACCGGCAAAAAACTTTGAAATGTACCGCTCTCTGATTCCCCCAGAGTATCCAGTGGAGAAAATTACTGTACCTATAGCCTTATTTTATAGCGAGAATGACTGGTTAGTGGATGTCAAAGATGTAGAAAATTTACGTAGGAGATTGAAAAATGTAGTGGAATATTACAAAGTTCCTAATAAAAATTTTAATCATGTTGATTATTTGTTTGCTATAGACTTAAAACAATTAGTGTATTCAAAAATGTCATCAGTAATTAAAAACCATTTGCTACATTAGCTTGGTGTTTATTTCATTACCTTTATTTATTTCACAAATTTTATAATAAATAGGTAGATATCTACCAGAATGTCCGGAAAAAAGTCGTGATTAGGAGTGAGTTAAATATTATTACGATGCAGAAGTTTGAAACATTAATTGTATTATTATTCATTTACGATATTTTGTAAAAGGTTAAGCCCCGTTAAGGTACATTATGGAAAGGTTTAGTAAGCGATAGATAGTTGGAATGTGAAAAATGTCATACTTACCTAAAAATTAAGAAACAAAGCTGTAATTTGACTATAATTATATATTAAAAAAAACTAAAATAAGGAAAACAAATATTTACAGACAATTTCGAATTGGCGCCATCGTGACTAAATCTCTAGGTATTCTTATGGAGGATATTTGTATAAAAACTGAATTCACCGAAGGCCACATCTATGTTTATATCAAGTAGAAAAAGACGAAGACGGATTGCGCGTCGAGATTCACTTGCCGAAGATACGCGTACAATTTATCACTGTCCCCCATTAGACTCGTGACGTCTCACTTCGATTTGGTCCCATTAGAAACAAATGTATATTATATATTGACATATTCGTATAGATATCTACAATAGAATGTTACATCATTAGGATTTACAATCCTCGAAGGTATCTAATACTATCGAAGGTGCATTTTGAGCAATGAACGTAGCACACACTTAAGTTCTATGCCATGCATTCATGTGTTACGGGGAATTCTACTCTAGGTACTGTCAGTATCAAAACTTTATGATCACTTTTAGATTTTCAAAATCGCCGTACACTGCATTATACCTAAATCGGCGAACATGACCACCACCTTAAATACAACAAGATACTTATTAGTCGTGCACTTTAGTGATATCATATTCACCCGTATCTATCATGAAAAACCCTTTACTGAAGCACACTTCATATCTATTATACAGAAACTCGTGATATCGCAATACAACTACAAAGTACAGAAGGATTTGTTGCAATAACTTTACTTTCACATTAAACTCGTACAAACTTCCACACACAAAACGTTTTCGGATTTTATCTACGGATATTGAATCGGGACAATTTCCGTTCGGATCATTTCTGTTTATGTGGAAGGTGGGAAAAGGTAAGGGCGTAAACGATATATATATATACATAGCCCAGTATATTTATACAATAAGTGTGCGAGAGCCATGCTTCGCCACGGATGGGCGCCGGCTCGACTAGGGTGATACCACGGCTTAACAAAAAACTGACGTGAAACAACGCTTGCGTTGTGTTACGTTACCATAGGCTCAAGTACTCATCTCCCCAATCTCCTCAATTTCCGAATCCTCAAATTTTAAAGACCGGTAATGCACTTATAACACCATTGGTGTTTCGGGTGTCCATGGGGGGCCCCGATTGCTTACCATCAGGTCATCTGTTTACCGGCTTATCCCATAAAAATAAAACTACACAATTTTATTCTAGCAATGTACATACGTACATGCAGAAAATCTATCTACATCTAAAGTATTACGTAAGGTACCAAGACCGAACAATATTCGTTTATGTGATACATTTCTACTGTTTTATTTCATGAGGAACTAGCTTTTGGCAGCGGCTTCGCCTGCGTTACCTTCGGATAATCTATTCCTGTTCCAAATGTCATGCCGATCCCTTCAGCTGTTTTGATGTGATTTAGTAATAAACATACACCCAAACACATACACAAACTTTAGCATTTATTAGGTAAACACATTGTTTTAAAAGAATACACCTTATAGTAGTCTTATGTCCAATTACACAAACGTTACTCAATTTTAAGACGGGCTTAAATATAGTTCTTTAGCCACAATTTTTTTGAAGAAAGGACAGACGTGGGCATTATATTTAAGTACAATTTAAAATTGAGTAGCCTTTCTTCTATACTTAAATTAATTAAAATTGTCCTGCAAACGAGTTCCTGTTTTATAAGGAATAATAATTAAAGTTTATACATAACATTATGTAGTGTTCACAGCTTAAATTCAAAGAAGGTCTTTGCAATAGCAGAATGGATTTAGATGTGGATGCGTTGCGCTAATACAGTGCGGTTCGTTTTTGTATCTGAAAATTAAAAGTAAAGTACAAATTGGGTATTTACCTTCATCAAAAATAAATTATTTCGACTGTTCAATACAATAGAATATCAAAAGATAATCACACTTTCATTTATTGATTTTATGAAATAAGAAAATAAAATCAATTTTTAAGAAAGAAGTATGCTGTTTGATGCTAAAAAAAACGTGACGTCGATTTTATTTTGTATTCAAAAGAAAATTACTTAATGAGAAACACATGGAAGTGTCTAAGTGAAGTGTGTAACGGATATTTTTTTAAAGGTTTTACTAAATGCAATTTCCTAAGTACTTACGCACTAACTCTTGATATTTCATTCTTAGTGATCATAAACAATTTCGTTTGTGTATCGTAAATAACAGATCCTTCGAATACTGCTCGTCCAGGATCCATTATGATCTGAAATAATATTTTTCCCAAGTTAATAACAGAACTTGTCTCATCAAATAAGAATAAATTATTCGACAACCCTAGCAAAAATCATATTTAGGAACACTTCACCGTAGCCATATAGTATTCATAAGGTGTTTTTGGAGCAGAAACTTGAGGATTTCCAAAAAATGCATCTTCTTCCATAAAGTATACATATTTCAGTAACTGATCCTCGACTTCTTGTAGCAAAACTGATCCAATAGATGTAATTTGTCTTTTTTCGCACTTCGATCTGTAACATCACAAATAGGAACTCGTTTGAATACATTTTCTATTACATAGGATGCTGGAAAATAGGCTGGTGTGCTCTTTGGTGACTGACGTAGAATCAATTTTGACAATCTCTGTGCGTTTATATTCATTGTAGATGGGTATCCCTCATTAGTCCTGTAAGGTAAAATCTCATAAAAAAGGTAAGGTTTCATAACAAAATTCATCAGAATTTCTTAAAGGATTTAGGGAATACAATATATGATACGGTATAAGAGTAAATAAGCTAACCGTAGTTCTGAAGTAAGAGAGTTAATATACTCGGCGAGAGCAGTTGGTACCAGTTTGTACATGGGAGACGACGTAGCCACACTGCGCCACTTTGTGCAGGTGCACCAGTGACGAGCGATGCCAGCATCGGCGCACGAGCGGTTTGCAGGTATCTGGCGTAATATAACATACTTACTAAACAAAACTAAGGCAGGAAACAAACTATATTACTCAGTATATTCAATGATATATGAAAGATATCATAGACACATGTTACTTTAAAAACAATATTACTTAACATATATTAAGGTTTTTTACAGCTTACCGGCTCTAATAAACTCAAAGATCTGGGTAAATCACAACCAGGGATTGTGTACTTATTGCTTAAGTCCTTCAAATCTAGTACATCTAATATTGTGGTGTGTAAATCATAGGGTGTTGTGACTCTATCCACGTTCTGATTTAGTGCCCTCACAGCGTCAGGTCTGAGTCGCTTGAGTCTTTCCGGAAGGAAAATAGAGAGTAAGGGCAAACGTTCCTCTAGTTTGCCTTGATATGTTTCACGTAGTTTCGAGAACCTATAATGTTAAGCTATTCATTAATACGGAAATATTGAAAGAATGTGGAAGGACGAATAGTATTAAATATTAACTTTGTACCTGCTTCCGTGGTCGCCCATGATAATAAGAAGTGTGTCTTCTAATATGTTTGTAGTACTAAAAGTCTTCATGAATGACAAAAGTGATTCATCTGCTGTCGATATTTGGTCGAAGTTATCATGACTAATATCTGATGAAAATGTGAAACAAAATTTTTTGCCATCCAACTGAAATAGCTGTTAAAAGAATATCAATGGCAGCCGGAACTACGAATACAAATTCTACGATTGGGTATTGACTACCTACATAAATAATTATAACACACAACAATTCGTAGTTTATGAAAAGATGTAATTAAAAAGTCATAAAGGATGTAGTAAGTTTTAAGTAAGTAATGTATTTATTAATTCAATAACTGTATGGGTAAATTTTGTTATTTTTCACAACATTGGCAACATAGTGTTGCGAGTGTCGATGTCCGGCGCTGATCGCACCATCAAGCGATCCATCTGCTCCTTTGCCTCCTATTCCATAAAAAATGTGTCGCTATTTAATCACATCCATTAACAAGCATCATTGGACGTACCTCAGTGGATATACTCATCAATAACTCATACACCGGAATAGCACCAATGCAGCAGCGATCAGGAAACCATTCTTTCTTATGTTCTAGTAAGAATGCACGAAGGTAATGGTCTGCTGGTTGGTGTTGAAAACCATTGAACCTGTATTGGAAGGTTCCTATTTGTGGCTCATCTTCCAAATACGCTGTTTGATATCTACAAAAAGTATTCATACATTATATTATGTTTATAAGACGCAAATATGTTATGTGTATTGTATACAATTATACATAACATATAGTCATTGCGTTTAACTTTAATTTTAAAGCATTGAAAAGAGGTAACCATACCCAAAACTCTTCAATTTGTGGAAAATAAACGATGTGTGGTCAATGAAAACATTTTTTGTTATTTTTATTCTTGAATCGGGATGTTGTTCTTCTGTCTTGCCTGTAAGTATGGGAAATAAAGCTGCGGGGGTTCCGTCGCCAACGATGTTGTAACTGAAATCATATTGTTTTTCAGATGAAACATGAGGATTGAGATCTTATACGAATTAATTACAATTAACTTCATGCCATGTACCAAGGCAAGGTGCACTTGTTTTAAGAGGTATGAATAAATCGCCAGATCTTCGAAATTGGGTTCTGTCTTTATCAGTAGTAGTTAAAAAGACAGAACCCAATTGGGCTATTTTCGCAGAGACAGAAAATTCGAGAGAAGTCGCCTCTTCTTGCGCGACTCTTACTTCCTAAACGCAGTCTGCTGAGCGAGATCGCGTGAAGGCCGATCCTATCGTAGAAGACATCGAGCCACGGGCGCATAGAGTTGAAACTTGACCTTAGGGAAGAAGTTCGAGAAAGGCCGAGGTTCAAGGGAGACATAGTTCTCCCTAAGATGTGCTGTAACAGATGTTGTACTGTAGGGACTCCGGAGTCATATTGGGAGGAAACCACGTCTCTTACAACAGGTGCACATGGTGACGGCCACCGGTGAGGTTTTAGTGAGATAAGAATGTCACACACCTTTTTAAAGATTTCTCTTCGACATGTAGAAGACCTTTAAAATTTACCTTGAGAAGTTGAAGTTCATGTATGTAGAAATACTAAGAGCTTTTTTACCCGTTCATGGTGACAGCATTTTCAGATATATACTTGTAACTTTTCGGCATTTTCCTTATAAATCCATTGTGAGATGTGGAATCGAAGCCTAAGATCATAACGTTGTAGGAATCTTTACGATTTGGTGGAACTGGGTATGTCTGCACTGGGCGGAAGCCCATTTTAACGCCTTTCCATCGTGGTGAAAATAAACTAGAACTATAAGAAAAAGTTACTTTATTAAGTTTAAAACGTCGTACGAACGACCTTTTTGTAACATTATGTATTTGAACGAAACCTACCAAAATCAGTCCAGTATACAAGTAATTGTAGTTGTAGTGTGTAGTACGCGCTTCTGTTTTTGCTTTGATATGAATATACAATATGATAACTAACCTGTACTTATATCTACCAGTACATGTCACTCTGACATGGTCACTTCTATTAAGTATATATTTGTCTCCTCCGTTCACTATAGTCTTGTTGGAAAGAAAATATTCTCGATCATTTACATATATTATATCCTTATAGGTACAACTGACATCTTTTACGCTATTTAATATTTCTTGGGTGACATAGCATTTTGATTTCTGTAAAAAAAACCTTTTCTACGTTATTTGAAAAGATCTAAATTATTATTATATTATAATAGGTCATAATATCTTCAATTTTGTTCTTCCAATTTTTCCCTTAATGATTTCTGGTTTTCTGGGTAATAATGACATACCGTTTTTGAAAATGCACACCCATCCATTATTATTTATATTATTAAACATGTTATTTGTTACGTTTATTTGTATCTGTTACGTGTACCCAGTTTCATAATTTACAAACCTGCTTCGAGGATAGAAGCGCTGCGTGCTGAAGCATAGGCTTAAGATCTATTTCAGCAACATAGTGATGGTAAAAATTGTTCACGTGATATTGTATAAGAAATGTAACTTGTATGGTAGGCATTATGTTAACTGGTCGAGTACCGGTTTTATAGACACAATTAAAGAACAATAGGTCGCGGTCACCGGTGACCGCTTGGTGTTTGACAGTTTAAACAACATATAAACTTATTCTGGTTCAATGAAATTTATTATTATTATTATTTAGGTATTGGTTTCTCTTTTTATTATTATGTAGTTACTCGACTTTTTACCCGATTAAAGCTACTAGCACTAGTAAAAATTTTTGGTCTAAATGTACCTATCCTTCTTACCTTACATATTACCCAATCTAAGCCACTACAAGCTATTTTCGGCAAATCCTCTGTCATTGCCATAATTTCTGGAGCAAAAGGATCGAGTTTTGGCCTTTCGCACCCCTTGCCTTTCTCATGTAAACAGTATTCCTTTGACCGGTTTTCAACTATTCTGTAATTAAAGTAGGTAATAACATATTAGAAATTTGACCATCTTCCTCATAGGTAATAAATTAGGAAATGAACTCTCATATACCCCCTTAAGTACAGTTTGATCCTTATTTCCAATCTACTAACTTATAATATCTATTTATGGGCACGATGGGCGAAAGTAAATGAGAAAATAACTAATAATTAATTTTGACAGGCGTATAAAATTTACCTTGGCGGCCTACTCCAAACTTGGATTGGCCTTCCGTATGAACATTATTGCTAAACAGAAGCCGCGCAAATGACCAGTGTATACTACCAGCGCTCATATACGGTGCGGTTTTTTAAGGGGGGAAAATCATCGAATGACTGCTCCCGCCTGGGTGAGGCGAGAGGGAGTGTCAGACTCTTACTGACTAAAAACCACCCCGTTCCTTCTCCTGCACGTCGAGCCGGAGCCCCGGTTACCCGTTAGGTTCTCCGCGACACAGTGCTGAGACTTGGGTGTTTACAAAGAGCCCAAATAGCAGTAGAGAGGAAGCTAGTAGGCGTTACTCTGAGAGACCGTAAAAGAAACCAGTGGTTAAGACAGCAGATTAAAGTCAAGGACGTCACACAGCATATTGCGAAACTCAAGTCGGAATGGGCTGGTCACATCGTACGGAAACAAGGTTCGTGGTTCAAAGCCGTGATAGAGTGGAGACAAAAATCAAGGCTCCTGGAATATTGAATTAAGAATTAAGAGCGGATATTAATTTTGGCTATATGACAAGTTTTAGATGTCGAGTCGACGAGGCGCAGAAAATCAGTCTACTCTCTCACCTTGGTACCCGTTCCGTTCAGCGGTTCTGGTCGAAGCCTAGCCTAGCGTAAAAACAATATAATTATTTACAATTTACCGCTCTCGTCGACACGTTATACTCGCTAGTCGTCGCTAGTTGTATTGGATGTATTCCGACGAGTTTTGTTAAAATACGTTGTTTATTGTTACCTTTGGGTTTCTTGTAAGCATAATGGTTTTCGGGAAATCGATAAATACGGAAGGATACCGAGGGTTATCATAGTGGCCAAAATAATGTAGCCTCTTTGCCGTCCTCTGGTACAGAGTCTCAACGAGCACATAACGAACTGAAAAAAGAAGAAGAAAAAACATTTTGGTGTTGTCACGAAAGGTTAATGTAAAAAAACAGGGTTTGGTGCAAATAGAATGTATCTAATTTATTTTGGAAAACTGTGAAATGAAACACCATGTATGTAAGTGGAGTCATCAAAATCGATACCAAAATTCAAAAAATGTTATTTGGTTAGTGGCAGGGATTATTTTTCTTAATTGTTTTTCTGAGCGAAATCACATGACTTTTTTTGAGTATTGGTACGTATTCATTGTGAGCACCATTGTAACGCTCCTTATGACGTCTAAGTAAAAGCTGGAGAGAGACTCTCACCTGACTTTTTAGGGTTTAAGATTTTATTGTAATAATTTAATTTGTTTTTAGTATAAATTCATCATCAACAGCTAATAAATGCCCACTGCTGAGCAAAGCCTCTTCTCACACGGAGAAGGTTAGAGCATTAATCACCACGCTTGCTCAATGCGGGTTGGCGATTTCAAACTTATTATTAGAAATTATAAGCCCAGGTTTCCTAACGATGTGTTTCCTTCACCGTTTGTCAGTAGTGTCTAAATAATCTTAGAAAGCACATATAACTCGGAAAAAGTCACATTGGTACTTGCCGTTGATAGGTTTCGAACCCGCACCCTCATGCATGAGAAGCAGGCGTCTTAAACCTCCGAGCCACCACGACTTTTTTTAGTATAAATTAATAGAATAATAATTCTTTCTTAAGACTGAGAATGGGTGGAGAGGACTAAGGCTGGGGAGAGGACTGAGGGTGGGGAACGAAGGGCGACATGGAAATACTCGAAGTGCCGAATTTCTTCACCATCCGCTACCTTTTCACGTTTAGACATTTCTGGTTCAGTTTTTTAGTCATAACTGACTAACATAGTCTAACCTATTACCTTAAAACTTATGGTTTATCCATTTTGCATAGGCATTGCAAAATTTACTTAGAGGTTTGTTCAAAAGTTCAAAATTACGAGATCAAAAAAAATAATATTGTGAGTGTTCCTGTCCCTAAGATTAAGACAGTAATTTATGTGTACTGAGCTTAAATCGTATAAATCTCAATCATACGGCGAATTTGAGCAGCCGACACACCATGTGAATTTTTTGATGAAATTGTGGCTTTATGAGCTTTTCGTATGTCAGTTTTACATTGCTTGATTGCTTGTTTAGTTACTGTAGTGATCGATTGAGTTGATTGTGAAAAAACAATGTATTTAATACAAACATAATACATTCGGAGTAGTATAGGAAAAAAAAAGAAGTAGTATAACTCAGATATAGGCTTGTTGTTTTTCGTGATTTATAAGTTAAACATGGTACAAATACTTGTAGCAACTGATGTCCTGACTAAATTTTTATATTCTGGCTTCTATTTTTACACGAAACCACTAAATAAGACGGCATTATATCTTTGTTTCGATCATGGTTGACAAAAGATTAACACGCGGTGACGGCCATTTTTTCCAGGATTGAGCGGAGCGTTCAACGACGTGGTACGCTGACACGCCCTACTCCTTCGCTTCTACAGTTTTCAATATTTCTGTGGACTATAAGTAACATGCAAACAAAAAATAGTCGGGTTATTTACCTTGAAGATCTTTTTAAAAATAAAAGCACCAAACTTTGAAGCTATATAGGATATCATATTGTCACAATGCACAATGTATTGTAAATCAATATTAAAAAGTAGGTACTGAAATAATAATTTTCTACCACACTTTCGACAAATCAACTTCTGTCAGATTTGTTTTTTTTAATTTTTGTCAACTGCCAGGTTTTGTGTATTACGATCTTCTTTCACATTACATTCACTTTTTTCATGAGAGTCCCTTGTTCATGAGATTAAAAATTATTGATATTTTTTAACCGACTTCAAAAAAAGGAGGTGTGACCATTATTAATAGGTATAACTTATATATTTTGTTATGGGGTTATCGCACCGACTTCTCTCCTATAAGTGGGTGTGTAAGCTATAATAAGTACGTATGACCAATTATAGTTATTTTTTAGTTTTTACTTTTAGTTTGTTTTTAGTTTTTGAAGTCGGTTTTTTTAAACCCTTTTTATTTTTATTAAGGGGCGAAAATCATCCAATGCCTCCTTCTACTCTATTTGATAGAAAAAAATCGCATCGAAATAAGGACAGATAGCGTAAAGCTACTGTGTTTTAGACTATACACAGGACATGGGTATTGGGCCGTGACTCGTAAAATACTACCATACATTCACAGTGTAAAGCACAGTCTGGTTCAATGGTCGCGACGTAGATCGTTCTGGTTATCTTTATCAATTTTAAGTAAGCTTATATGTAGTTCTGTCACTAGTAATTCTTTGTAAAAGGACAGAGTTTTGTATACGAGCCCTATGTGCAACATAATATTGAGCAGCCTTTCAGTATTCGAACTTTAGGCCCCATGTCACGTTTGCCGCGCGCGCTATTAGTTTGTAGACATCTGCAGTTTTCTTGCACATTGCGGATATATAGAACTGAAAAGTTATTTTCCTGTGTATGATAAGGCCCAAGAGGTTTTTCTCATCTACAGGGTTTTAGAATTAAATAAACAATCTTTTTATTTATTGACAACTTATTTAATCAGCATCTAGCAACAAAAACAGAAAAAAATATTGACATTATATATTTAGATGAAAAAAACAATGCTCGACAAATAATGTAATCGTCAATTATGTATAACGTAGTAGTAGCTGCAATAGTATCTGTTTTTGTAGCTCCTAAAAGAATTTAAGGATATCTATACAGATACACATATCAATTATAACTTTGAACATCTGTAAAATGCTATCGTATCTATTTTTCATACAAACTTAAAAGTCCTCATTCATGGAAAAAACTCAACAGATTTAAATGAAACTTGATGCTACGTGATGTAAATAAAGTTCTATGATCCTAACTAGTAACGTTCACAGCTTAACATCAAAGAAGGTCTTTGCAATAGCAGAATGGATTTAGATGTGGATGCGTTGCGCTAATACAGTGCGGTTCGTTTTTGTATCTGAAAGTAAAAGTAATATTGTTAATTGTTTTGTTCAGTTGTGCTAAATAACGAGTTGTAAGTATCAAGTAAAATGTAACTTCTACAAAATATTATAGAATAGCGATCTTTTAAGGATGTTTAATTCTGGAAAAACGTTAGAATGACCATAAGGTCATGGCACAGACTAACGGCATTGTTCCAACCTAGCTTAATATTAAGGCCGTCCGCTGCATTAGGCGTGCGCACGGCGCGGGTGCCCGCGTGGTGTGCTGTTTCATGTAATCTCATAGATCTGTGTGCGATGGGCGACCCGCTGCATGCAGCGCACGGCCTTTTTTTTAAGGGACGAAAATCATCGAAGGACTGCTCCCGCCTGGGCGTGAGGGACTATCAGACTCTTACTGACTAAAAACCACCCCGTTCCTTCTGCTGCACGTCGAGCCAGAGCCCGTTAGGTTCTCCGCGACTCCGAATCGGCATCGGCCCTGTTGGACCCCATCTGTGGTGGTGTGATGGCTCTTTGAGGCGCGCGCGGAACGCAACGCGCCGTACGCTCGGGTTTGTTTCTGGTCGGACGGGGAGCCATCCATGCTCGCCGTCCGCAGGCCCGCGCTTACGGTGGCCGGAGATCGTCCCGCGATCCCCGACGCCCGGTGTGTCCTTCGCGATGGCTGGGTTGCGAGGAGGCAGCGCTTCGCTGCCTCACGCGTCCCGCCTCCTCCTTAGCTCGCATGACTGCTTCGCAAAAGGAGGAGATGGCATCCCAGTCCCCCTCGCTTCACATCATGCCCTGCACTACTGCACTAGGCCCGGACGCGAGAGTCCGCCATCGCCGATCACACCCCTCAGGGCACGGCGGTGCTCAGCCCACGCAGGGCATTCCGCTACAGTGTGTTCCACCGTGTCCTCAGGGCGGTCCTCGCAGTGATGACACCCGGGCGTTTTCTCCCGCCCCATCAGACACAGGTACCTCCCGAAACTTCCATGTCCGGTGAGGACCTGCGTCAGGCGGTAGGTGAGGACGCCATAGCGCCTCTCAAGCCCCTCTTCAAAGAGGGGACTTACCGCTGCGATGGCAGCGAGCCCACGCGCACGGCCTAGGGGTACATTTTTTCAACGTCGGGGAATATTTGCAAATACTTCCATATTTAAAACAGTCAAATGTCAATTTAGTTCTACAGTTCTTAATTATCTGAAGATCGACCCTAAATCGTATATCGTATGATTATGAAATATTTCATAACGTCAATAAAATAAGTCAATGGCGGGTTGCTTTTCCAAATCAAAAAACGTCGTGCCGCAGCCGTGCTGTGGCCATTGTCCTTGTGTTTAAGACATCGAATATACTTTCAGAAAAATTCTTCTAATCTATATTAAAACTCTAATCTATAAAAATCTAAAATAATCTATATTACAAGAACTGTCTTGCATTACATATTTTAATCGAGTCTGAGTTTTTGCTCATATTTTTTGGGCATTCTTCTTTGTACTTACGCACTAAGTCTTGAAATTTTATCGGTAGTGATTGTAGACAAATTTGTTTGTGTATCGTAAATAACTGTTCCTTCGAATACTGCTCGTCCAGGATCCATTATTATCTGAAATAATGTTTTTTCTAAGTTAATAACAAAACTTGTCTCATCAAATAAGAATTCATTATTTGACTAGCCTAGCAAATCATTCATCATATTTAGAAGTACTATTATTCACCGTAGCCACATAGTATTCATTTGGTGTTTTTGGAGCAGGAAATTGAGGATTTCCAAAAAATGCATCCTCTTCTTTAGAGAATACATATTTCAATACTTGTTCATCAACTTCCTGTAGCAAAACTGATCCAATAGATGTCATTTGTCTTTTTTCGCACTTCGATCTGTAACATCACAGATAGGAACTCGTTTGAACACATTGTCTTTTATACAGTTAGGATGTTTATCTATCGAAAATAAGCTGGCGTGCTCTCTGGTGACTAACGTAGAACCAAGTTTTGCAATCTCTGTGCGTTTATATTCATTGTAAATGGCTATTCCTCATCAGTCCTGTAAGGTAATCTCACAGCAAGTCTCAACAAGCAAGGTAAGGTCTCAATAAAATTCATCAGAAATGATGTTCATGTAGGTACTATAACTTCTTAAAGGATTTGGGGTGGCTCGATCTGCAACTCTATATAAGTATATGCAGTATATGATATAGTATTTTTTTAAGAGAGAAAATCATCGAATAACTTCTCCCGCCTGAATATGGCGTGAGGGAGTGTAAGACTCTTACTGATTAAAAATCATCCGTTCTTACTCCTGCACTTCGAGTCGGAGTCCCGGTTACCTTTTACGTTCTCCGCGGCTTTACGTTCTCGGTATACGAGTAAAAAGGCTTACCGTAGTTCTGAAGTTAGAAAGTTAATATACTCGGCGAGAGCAGTTGCCACTATATTGTACATAGGAGACGACGTAGTCACATTGCGCCACTTCGTGCACGTACACCAGTGTCGAGCAATGGCAGCATCGGCGCACGAGCGGTTTGCAGGTATCTGGCGTAATATAACATACTTACTAAACAAAACTAAGGCAGGAAACAAATTATATTACTCAGTTCATTCAAGGAGATATAAGACTTTAGATATATTATTACTTATTGGTTGTGTTCAGCTTACCGGCTCTAATAAACTCAAAGCTCTGGGAAAATCACAACCAGGGACTGTGTAATCATTGCTTAAGTCTTTTAAATCTAGCACGTCTAATATTGTGGAGTGTAAATCGAAGGGTGTTGTGAGTCTATCAACGTTCTGTTTTAGTGCCGCCACAGCGTCAGGTCTGAGTCGTTTGAGTTTTTCCGGAAGGAAGAAAGAGAGCAGGGCCAAACGTTCCTCTAGTCTGCCTTGATATGTTTCACGTAGTTTCGAAAACCTGTAATGGTAAGCTATTCATTTTATGCCTATTATGGCAATATGAGAAATATGTAGAAAGATTGAATATTAACTTTGTACCTGCTTCCATGGTCGCCCATGACAATAAGAAGAGTGTCTTCTAATAAGTTTTTGGCTTTAAAAGTCTCCATGAATGACAAAAGTGATTCATCCGCTGACGATATCAAGTTGAAGTTATCATGACTAACATCTGATGAAATTGTGAAACAAAATTTTTTGCCATCCAACTGAAATATCTATTAAAAGAATATTATTGGCAGCCGGAAGTATTTTTATGATTATAGAACTACGAATACAAATGCTAAATTGACGTGACCAGACGCCCCGTTTTGAACGGAACTGTCCTTTTTTTATAATTCCAAGTCCCATTGTCATATCCGTTGGAAATCATGCGAAAAAAATTTGAATAGGTAGTCGAACCTATGCGACCGTTCTGACGGATCGAGGGGCGCGCAATAGCGATACAGCGTTATACATAAATCGCAAATTTTTGACGAAGTACAGTCAAAAAAATTTAAGTTCGTACATTTTTATGCAGTTTTTTTTCTCCACGGACTCTTGTCCGTGCTCTTGTCATTCAATTACAATTTTTATGCAGTTTAGTAACGTTAACCTTTCTGTTATACACAATATAACAACACAAAACGATAAAAGATTTCAATTTAAGATCACATAAATTGATAACTATCGTAGCACAGAGAAAAGCACATGCGTTTCCTTTGCCAGTACCAACGAAAGTCGACTTAAGGTCTTCGCACACAGCCCCAAAGCAGCAATTAACTTGTCGTTTAAATATGAACGATTTAATCGTTAAACTTTTATTATTTTTAAGCCTTTGACTGCCGACAGAAAACTGTTGAGGGTAAATCCTCCGCTATCGTGGCCTATACCTTGACCCCCATGGTGTTCAAGGTATTAAAGGGGGAAATTATCGAATGACTTCTCCCGCCTAGGTGCGGCGGGAGGCAATGTCAGACTTTTAACGACTAACAACCACCCCGTTCCCCCTTCTGCACGCCGGAGCCCTGGCAACCCGTTAAGTCTTCCGCAGCTGCGTATCGGCATCAGCCCTAATGGACCCTTTCCGTGGTGGTCTGATGAATTTTGAGGCATGCGCGGAACGTGACGCGCCGCACGCTCATGGTCGGGGGCAGGCTACCCATGCTCGCCGTTCGCAGGCCTGTGTTACGGTAGCCGGAGAACATAGCATTATGACACACCAATCACTATCAAATCACCTGCCAGGTGTTCTGTCACTACAAATTCTTTGTAAAGTGACACAACTATGTATACTTAAACGTTTGAGTATTTTATTTTGACATAATAACATATTCCCTACAACGAATTGAGACTAGCCCCAGTAATAACGAATGATATTTGTGAATAAAGTATTCTAACAACATACGTCTGGTCGTTGGGTTCGTATCGTATCTTATTAGTTTTGCCCGTCATCCTTTTGTTATTTTGCACAACATTGTCAACATGTGTAGCCTATTCAATCACGTCCATTAACAATCATCGTTACACGTACCTCTTTGGACATATTCATAAGTAACTCATAAACAGGAGTGGGGCCAACACAGTAGGCATCCTGATACCAGTCTTTCTTATGTTCTTGGAAGAATGCACGAAGGTAATGGTCTGCTGGTTGGTGTTGAAAACCATTGAACCTGAGTTGGAAGGTTCCTGTTTGTGGCTCATCTTCCAAATACGCTGTCTGATATCTACAAAAAAGTATGCATACATTATACGTCTATAAAACGGAATAATCTTGTATGTATTGTATTTTAATACGTATATGAAAGCGTTGAAAAGAGGAAACCATACCCAAAACTCTTCAATTTGTGGAAAATAAACGATGTGTGGTCAATGAAAACATTTTTTGTTATTTTTATTCTTGAATCGGGATGTTGTTCTTCTGTCTTGCCTGTAAGTATGGGAAATAAAGCTGCGGGGGTTCCGTCGCCAACGATGTTGTAACTGAAATCATATTGTTTTTCAGATAAATTATGACGTTTGAGATATAGAGCAAGGTGCACTTATTTTGGCCAGCACGAATAAATCGCAAGACCTTCAAAATTGGATTCTTTCTTTATCGGTAATTGTTAGAAATATGTTCGTAGACACAGAAAATTGGAGGGAAGTGGCCTCCTATTATGTGACTCTAATCTCCTAAAAGCAGGCCGATCCAGCTCTTAGTAAAGGAGACATCGTCTTGGTGCGTAGCACGCCGAAATCCTGTCTACATCACCTGGAGGCAGACCTTTGAGGCCACGGGCGCACAGAGTAGAAATTGTAAAGTGGCCATTTCGTGACGTCAGGAAAGACGGTGGCACAGTGCTCACGTGCGCCCATCTCAAACGAGGTTCAAGGGAGACCGGTCTTCCTAAAATGTGCTGTAATAGGCGTTGCACCGTAGAGACTTCGGAGTCCTATTGAGAGGAACCTACGTCACTTACAGGTGCGCATGGGACCAGTAATGGGATGAGTAACCACCGCACCAACGGGGGAGATGTTAATAAGATAAGAATCTCACACACCCTAGTCTTTTCCCAAAAAAGCTGGGCGCCTTTTGATGATTTCTCCCCGATATTTATGAAAACTTTCAAAATTGATCTTATGAAGTTGCAGTTTAAATAATAATATGTAAAGATACTGGGAGATACTTTACCCGTTCAAGATGATAGCTTTTTCAGATAAGTACTTGAAACTTTTCGGCATTTTTCTTATAAATCCATTGTGAGATGTAGAATCGAAGGCTAGGATCATAACGTTGTAGGAATCTTTACGATTTGGAGGAACTGGGTATGTCTGCACTGGGCGTAAACCCATTTTAATACCTTCCCATCGCGGTCGCGATGAAAACAAAGTGTAACTATAAGAAAAGGTAGTTTATCTTTATAGTATAGGTAGGTACTTCTGTTTTTGCTGTGATATGAATATAAAGTATAAAAACTAACCTATCCTTAAATCTACCAGTACATGTCACTCTGACATGGTCACTTATATTAAGTGTATATTTGTCTCGTCCGTTCACTATAGTTTCGTTGGAGAGAAAATATTTTCGATCATTTACATATATTATATCCTTATAGGCACAACTGACATCAGTTAGGTTAATGAATACTTCTTGGGTAACATAGCATTCTGATTTCTGTAAAAAAATATTTTTTAGGTTATGCCTACCTCTATAAACGGAACGGTTATTATATTATTACTTAACTAATAAATCTTTTTATTGTCTTCAACTTTGTAATTTAATTTTATTCCATAACGATTTCTAGTTCCATGGGAAATCGCGTTTTTCCCTTCGAAATGCACACTCATTCTGTCCTCATTTTCTGACCTCAGATAATCTGTGAAGTTTATTTTGACTTTCTGTATATTTAATTTTTGTCTTCTTTTTCCAATGAGTTTCTTCCTACTATTTGTTCTATTTTTACTTACCTATTTAAAAGCTTTCTGCACTGGTCAAAATTTGTTCATACCTTACATATTACCCAATCAAAGCCATTACAAGTTATTTTAGGCAAATCCTTTGTCACAGCCATAACTTCTGGAGCAAAAGGATCAAGTTTTGGCCTTTCGCATCCCTTGCCTTTCTCTTGTAAACAGTACTTCATGGCGCGGTTTTCAACTATACTGTAAGTAATTAAAGTAACTATCTACATAATTATATGATTGGACTACCTTGAGTAAATTAGACTAAGGATCATAAATTGATCGAATAGCTCTCTTCTGCAGCACAAAGACCGGCTGAATGTCAGTAACCTACAAGAGAATACTATAATACAGTGGCAATAGCTAAACTAAATAGCCGCTTTGCATCTACATTGACTGGTAGTTTAGTTTTTTAGTTTTATGGTTTTTTTTAACGGCATATGCTGCAGAATTGAGCTTTATCGACAACTGTCTATATGTGAGCCCTAATGGAGCTTAGCGTATAGGACTCGACCCTTGCTTAGCACCTATATAATTGGGCCTCCGGTAACCTCACTCACACGACGAAACAACGTAAGCATTGTTTCAAGTCGCTTCTTGGTGAGGCCGTAGTATCACTCCGGTCGAGCCGGCCCATTCGTGCCGAAGCATGGCTCTTCCACACTTAGCATGGCTCTCGGACACTTATGTCTTACGATTGATGTCGACAAATCATCAACAGACTGATGGTTGCATTAGTTTTTGTGAACTACAGATCTCATGTAGATGTCGCTAGTTATATCGTATTCCTTCAAACAAACGTTAAAATACATAGGTACGTTATTTACCTAAGTGTATCTTCTAAGCCTAGTGGTTTTCTCTGTATTACTTCAGTTTGCGAAGAAATTCGCAATTGCGGAAGAATTCCTAGGATGATTATGGCAAAGAGAATGTAGATACTTAGCCGCCATCTAATACAGTACCCCAACCAGTACTTGAGGACCTGAAAAGTTGTTATTGTATTAGAGGTCAGTGTAACATTTGTTGATCAGGTAACTAATAGCTTAGAAATTATAAGTCCAGTTGCATTACAGTTACATTTAGCTCCTTTTACGGACGATAGAGAAGCTATTAAAAATTATAGACAATGCTTTCGATAGCGATACGTATGTCCTCGATAGTTTTCTGCATCATAAGTCAATAGTGTCTAAATAATCTTAGAAAATGTATGTAGCATAAAAAGTCGTATTGGCCCGGAGGCTGGAGGTTTAATACACTCGCTTTTGCTAAACAGCAAAACTTGGCCGTTATATGGTAACTGTTTCACGTATGTACCCACATCAAGCATGTGCGAACAGCAAAGGAGTGGAACTCTAGTCTATATTTTCTGAAGGGTACATCATCATCATCATCATCATCATCAACAGCCTATAAATGCCCACTGCTGAGCAAAGCCTCTTCTCACACGGAGAAGGTTAGAGTTAGGTTAGTGCATTAATCACCACGCTTGCTCAATGCGGGTTGGCGATTTCAAACTTATAATTAGAAATTATAAGTCTAGGTTTCCTCACGATGTTTTTCCTTCACCGTTTGTCAGTGGTGTCTAAATAATCTCAGAAAGTACATATAACTCGGAAAAAGTCACATTGGTACTTGCCGTTGGTAGGTTTCGAACCCGCACCCTCATGCATGAGAAGTGGGATGGGGCGTCTTAAACCTCTGGGCCACCACGACGTGACTGAAGGGTACAACCTGGATGTATTCTAGTCTCGAGTGAATAGGGCAGGTGTACTTCATCGTAGACCGCATTATCACTTACCAATGAAACGGTCGCGCGCACGCGTTACTCGCGCTTGCGTAGTGTGAAATTATCGAATTGTACGCTTTACATTGCGGGTTCGTAAAATACCATATCACTAATACATAAAGATTAAAACGAATGGTTTTTGGTATTCGCTAGTGTTTAACTAATATATTATTAAGATTTCGGTTCCGTGAGCGTCTTAAATATCATGCATCTGGTGATTAAAATGTACCGATAACATAAAGAAGAAGTTTACCTTAAACATTTTTTTGAACATAGATATTGTTGACTTTAAAACTATATAGGGTTTCATATCAGCAATAATTAAATACTTATTGAAAGTATATCCTTTGGAATAACTATCCTATTACTATGCGTACGGATTTTCTACCAAATGAAATTACATTTCAATACTATATGTTTTTGAAAAACGAGCTTCTGTCAGATATTTGTTTCTAATTTATGTCGGGTTATAATATAAGGTTAGAATATAATATATAACCTTCTTTCTCTCTATTCAATAGTAGAGTATTGGACGTTGAAAATAGGGCGGACGTACCTAATGTCCCATACAAATGATTAAAGCACCAAAATGTCAGTGATGTATTTTTTATACGATTTTTTAAATATTTCAATATTTTGTTTTGACGATCAAAAGTGCCTTCCTGGTCTAATTGAAATAAATCATTTTGACTTTGTATTTATGCATACGTGTACTTGCTGTTACGTTGGTGGATTAATAAATTGTAGACGGATTTATTATACTTGGATTTATTACAATAATGTGCAGGGCGCACGACGTGTACACACACCAGACTATGACAGGTAGACAGCGGCGTTAATGAATAGTGTTCTACCTTATATACCACATTATAGTGAGGGGCCACTACTTACTAATTAGTGATGTTCATACATGTAACTCTTGCAACACCGTAAACTATGAAGTGTAATTACGGGCCATGTCACGCGACAGGTGTCTTTCGTGTCAATGTGTCTGCCTTCTGCGTTTGAGTCTGTAGTAGCCAGGTACCACAGTCGTTGTTTCAAAAGACTATGGCTGCCATTTTTAATGTCCTTGTAGAAGATAATTAAAAACGGTTACATGATGTCGTAGCAATGCTGTATTGTTTTTTGTTTTGGCTATAATGTAATTTCATTTATAAATTTTATTTATAAATAATATTATTTATAAATAACATTATAATATTTTATAAATAATATATAATATAATATTTTATAAAAAAATAAATAATATTATTTATAAATAACATTATAATATTTTATAAATAATATATAATATAATATTTTATAAAAAATAAATAATATTATTTATAAATAATATTATAAAAAAAATAAAATTAAACAATATCTAAAATAAATAATTATGTTATAAAGTACCTACCCACGTAGGATATATGCCATGCCATATGCTAGAAAGATGTCCTTGACTTTTGCCCTACTTATTAGAGAGACTTATTAGGTCACCCAGCGCGCGATGCAGAGAGTTAGAAACAAAATCCGAAATGAGGATACTAACTAAAGAACTAGAGTAACCGACATAGCTCTTAAAATGTGAAAGCTACTAGGCTATCTGTAACTGTCAATTCGAAATTTTGAACTGAGCTCCATCGCATTCTCGCCCGTCATTGGTCGAGATTATTCTTACAACCAATGACATGGCGATGGCGGACAGCGATCGAGTTCACGTATTATCTTTCGAATAAGGATGAAGGGTATGACAATTAAACATTTATTTAGTCTTTCAGTTAAATAATGAAAAAATATTAAACACGTATTTTTTATGTTTTCAATGTATGATACGTAAAATGAAATAAAGTTTATGAGTGGGAGCTAGCTAAATCATTTTTGAGTATAAAACGTACACAAGAGTGACGTCAGTATGTCAAATTCAAACCAATATATCGTCGAAAGTTTCTGAAGTTTCTGTAAGAGCATAAAAAATACGTGTCTAATTTTTCTAAACAATCTACTAGGCGGACATTAAAATAAAAAAATGACATCTATCCTATTGAAAGTTACAGAGTAACTTAGCTGAAATGGTACTAAAACGGGTACTTAACATAGTAATGAAATCAGGAAAAGGCTTGTTGAAATATTTTCTATAAATAAATGTATCCAAATTATACACATCTCATTTATTTTGTTGTTTTCTAAAAAATGTCGTATATTATTTAATACAAGTTACTTTTGGTCATATAATTAATTATTACAAATGTCTGGCATTGATTACAAGTGATTACAATGATGAAAATAAGTTCGTGTTCAATATAAACATTTGACATTAGCTTACATCTATTTACTGTTGTTTAATAGGAATATACATAAATTGCTTGCAAAATTAAATCTTAAAATTCTTAGATTTCATCGAAAAATCTAATAGGTAATATTAATAAAATTTACCTGACTCCTAGGATTGAACGTAAAATGTTGCACCTGTGGATACTAGTCCTTATTTTTTAATTTGATGCAGATTATAATTTGTAATTTGGCACGCATAATCACCTAATACGTACTTAATAATACTTTTCATTACAAAATTCCTGTATTAATTAGAACATCCAATTTTACCTTTTAAGATTTAATAATAATTCAAATTAATACCCACAAATTAGTATCTCCGCATATTATGTGCACATAATTGTTCGGAGAATATCAGATCGCAAGCATCCTATAGTGACAATACTAAGCAGAATATTATGAAGTATGGTTGTGAAAACGTCGTACGAGTAAACCATAGCGTCGATTCGTTGCTACGGGCTCCTACGAACTGACGAACGTGTACAGGTACACCTCTACGACCAAGGAAGGATACTGCAAAGCAAACGATATTTCTTTGCCAAACGAACCAGTATTCTATCACAGTTAGGTGAAATATCAGTACTACCCTTTGTCGATGAAAATATTTTTTAATATAAGTCCTTAAATTCTTATGTACACTTTGGACTCACTATTAACATAGTATTAGAACACCCGAACTTTCCACAACATTTTAATATTATTTATGTAATATATTTTTAACCCTCGCATATTTACTTCATTTGATTTATGGAAACTTAAGTCAATATTTATTTTATTATAAGTAAATGATACAGAGGGTGATGCGGGTGCTATATGTAGGTACATAATATTAGTTCGATTCCAGTAGATACATGCATTATTATTAACTCACAAACATTCGATATCTATACATAATTCTAAACATTCACTTACATTCACATATACACTATGTTACACTAGATTAAATATATTTAAACACTCATATGTATGTACACTGGAGGCATTATCACGCGTTAATGTAGATGTCTTCTTTAGTTTTTATTGGGTAGTCTTTGGGTGGTAGCTTGAAGCTATTCCTTATGTATGAGAAACGATGGAAATTGTAGAAGTATTCTTTACCGTCGGGAGAATACTGAGGGTATAAAGTGTAGGCTGGTAACTCAAAGTCGAGGTCAGTGAGGGAGTCCGCGAGGGCGTGCTTCGCGAACTCCTCCTGGTATCGTCATGACTGGTCCCTGTAGGCCTTGCGCTTCATACACTTCTCCTTTAGTATGTAGCATAGCGCTATAGCTATGAGAACAGCTATAGCGATAGCCATGCTTATGCTAATCCAGATTATCTCCTCGTTGATGCCGCTTGTCGATTTTCCTGCAGACAATAAATATTACTTAATTATAATGCGAATGCAAGCGACACATTGAAATGAGGTTATTATTGTAATAAGTAATTAATGTAACAAATACATTAGCAAGGCATTTGCTGCTAATGTGAAATCTTTTAGTTATAGCCGCAGGCCTGTGTATGGACATTGCAATTTAACTCCATTGTCCATTTTGTATTGTAGACGTAGTTCATAATTTACTGTACCTAACCTACTGCACAGCCAAGCCATCAAAAAGAAATAAAAAGGTAGAGAAAGCGTTACATTCAATATTAAAATTGTTTCGTTTTTATTTATTTATTAACTTGTCCTATTTTTTTTTTATGGGTATTACCGATTAAGGACCGCCAAGCAATAAGCGATTGTACCCTATTAATTAAAATCTTAACAAATAATATTGACAGTTCCGATATTCTAGCGAGATTGTTTCTCAATGTTCCTGGAAGGTCGAGGAGATGGTTTCCACCGCTACGTGTTCCATCTTCCTCTACCAATTATAGGCAAAACTCGTATTTTGTGCGTGCAATTAAGGAATTTAACAGCGTGTGCAAGCAGCATGATTTTGACCTTTTTAATATTAAAGTGTCTACGGTCAGGAGGTGCCTGAGCCTTTCTTTTTTTATTAAGTAACATAATAGGGAACGCGATTGAACTAATATTATGCGAGGTAATTTGTCTGTGTAGTGTTCAGATGTTTATTAGTATAGATTAGTAATTTAGTACTTTGTTTCTTTTTATTTTGTTATTATTTATTATCGTTTGTTTTTATTATTATAATAATTTTGTAGGGAGTACTGTGTCGACCACATTCTTTTATAGTATAAGTTTGTTTTTATATGTGAAGACTTGTCATTGGCTGTCAGACTCTCACACAATGTCTTAATTTTTGTTTTGTTAGCTGTTAGTCTTCCAAAGTTGTTAAATAAATAAAATAAATAAATTAGACTTACTCATATTGTAAGATAAATATTTTATGTTTGTTTTTTAATTACATGTGTATTACAAAACTATTATACTTTCAATATCTTTCATACAAAAAAACCTTTACATTATAATGTGAATACTTATATTTTTTAACTTTTGTGCAAGTTCAAAACTTTACACCATAATGATACACAATCTAATTAGGTCATTTGGGGCTCACGTTTACGCGATGTAGGCATATTAATAACTCATTAATCTTACTCTCTCACATGCAACTGCTACGGTATCACAAACAGCTGTGTCCACAACTAATTTTAAGTTCAACTGACTTATTAGCTGTTACCATCATATCTGCTGGGCTATCGTTTTTCATTTTTTTTTCTACTCAAGTTATTTCGCGTTGATAATAACTTTTGTATAGGACTTAAAAGTTTTAAATAGTGGTGCTCTGTTTACGGTAACCAAGAGCTGATTTAGGAGCCTTCCTAACCTCTCTAATCTGTAGTTATCCAGTAAGTAAGGCTGTTAACTACTTGTAGAAAAATGTCTATAAAAATAAATAATAGAAAGGAAAGCTATTTTTCGCAAAAGTTTTATGCGACGTCAGCTCGAAAAGTGAATATGATTCTCTGCACACAAAGTTAGTCAGCGAAATAGGGACTATGACCATCGAGTGACATGTCACTAACCTCGTTTAGTTTCAGGAAGAATAAGAGAGTGAAAACCATTTTAATTACAGAGACGAAACCTTAACAACAAGTTAGTTAGACGTTTGAATGTTTGTTCGTAAGAGTATTTGTTTGTGCCGTCGTCGTTTTTTTTGGTGTCTATTGTATTGGCGGCCATCTTGACCTAAGTAGTCAATACGAGTAACCAGGGATTTGCCTTTGCTCAACTATTTTGAGCGAGCAGTCTGGATACCTCTGGTTTACCTCTGTTGACTACCTTCTAACTAGTTAAATAATTTAATGAAATTAAAATTAGCTATAGAGCTATAACATTTATTAGGTTACGTCAAAACTCGTAATAATAATAAAGTTTTCAGTATCTAGTCGGTAATTAAGCTAGGTACGTATCGGATGGCATAATTACAATACTTTTATCATAACTTCGTGGATAAACTTTTCTACAAGGAAATGTTTGATACTCTATTAGTTTACTTTTATTTATTCTACTTGTCGGTCGCGTCCATTGGGCCCTAGTCGCTACAACAACACAATGGTTTTCCTGTTGCATTATAGGGATACAAAGAAAAATGCGATGGAGTAAAAATGAAATGAATGATAGTACAGTTCCCTTCGTCTAGTGTTGCGTAGGTGTTATAAACAACAAGCAAGTTAGTCCTCACACAAAATAAACAAGGGGACAAAATAGTTCAAAGCAATCTATTTATTTTTCAGAGCGTGACATTATTTATCCAAGTGTTATTTGCGCTAGTCTTACGAAACATTCACATTGCTAGGATTCTTCAAGCTTTGAATTGTCGATATACATTTATTTCGTACTAAATAATAAATATTCACTCCGAGTTGATTTGTTTTTATTATTACAAGATTCTTACACAAACTTGTAACTTAGTTGCATGTATTTTAATCTAAAGTCTTAGTTAATTCAAATATGTTTTTGCCTTATTTTATTTACTTCGTTCGTCATCATCATCATCATCATCATCAACAGCCGGAAGACGTCCACTGCTGGACAAAGGCCTCCCCTTTAGCCCCCCACGTCGAACGACAACTCGCCACCCGCATCCACTGGCTCCCCGCTTCGTCATATCATATGTTAAATTAATAATCCTGTAAGCCCGGATCTACAACCATGAAAACACCGGAACACTGAAGTCCGGCGCGTCCCAGGATATGAATGATGGTGGTTTCCGCAACGAAATAAATCAGAAGATATTATAAGAGGAGAAGAAAACCACGATAGTCTCCACTTCTCTCGGTGAATTACTTCAGGAGACAGAATAAATTAAGCTCAAATGCACAAAAAGAGACTGAAATTGGGAGAAGCCCAGTCGCCAAGAACCACGGAAATATGACTGAAAGCTAAGTGGGTCCCATGTGTGAACTGTCATATTTGCTTCCAATAATAAGTATGACGCCTAAACCCACGGAAATTTGTTTTAAATTCCACAAGGTCCGTACAATAAACTACACATGACGAAACGATTAAATTGTCTAACATAGTGTTACGTTCATATTGCCAGAGACCACACTCCTAGAGTATGTAATGGGCGGACTGCTCGTATAACATAAACAGATATAATATATAATATTGATGATTATATCCGAAGTATTAACAGTAATAAAATATTTACCCCCTTTTTTATTGGAGTAGCCTCCCATCTTGCCGGCGACCCTGGCGGTAGCTCCTCCAACCATCACCAGCACCATAGCGCTGGTGCGCACTGTGTGGCCTGTACAAATACAATCGCTTTTAGTTCTCTTGGTGAATAATGTCAAAAAAACACTTGTATTTCTGTTAAAGATACGTATAGGTACACACTCTCTAATCTACCTCTATTTTATCATCGTCGGACAGTTTCCATCCTCTTCGACTATTGTTTATAAATAACAAGTATTCTCATTATAGATTTTAAAAATGTTCAGTATTAGTAGAGTCTAGCATGGTATGCCTGTTTTGGAAAAACTCGTAAACTTCATAATTTGATAAAATGTGGATGTCACATGTAAAATGCGCTGGGCCTCTGCTAACAAGGAATAAAAGGTCCAAGGAATAAAGACTATTGCAACCGAGAAGAAGATAAGAAGATTATCAGTTTTTAAAATGTAATTAGTTACGCGGTAACATTTGCTATTCTAGTTTAGTTTTATTAGAGTAAAGTTACGACAATACTTACGTATAATGATCCCCATATTGTCTGCTTGCTCCCAGAAGTTGGAAAAGAAAATGAGCTTCGTGTTCACATTAATATAGTTATTGTTCCTCTAGTGCAGCTTGAGGAAGCTGAATCTGAAAAGTAAAAATAATTTAATTCATATGGTGAATCAGAGCATGGATCCAGGTAAGTTTTAAAATTGCAACGTGTAACTGCGGGATAAGCAGTATTTTGATTGACCTAACTGCGATCCCAAGTAACATACCAAGTGTGGAGCTTAACTCCTTAGAGGGGTTGTCTACACTTGGCCTTTGTTTAGTAAAAAAGGATGATAATGGATGGTCGAATCTAAGAGCGTAAACACAAAGATCTAGGACCAGCGAGACACTTTATAATGCAGAAACATAGTATAATAGCGCTTTCCCGCCACTTGGATTACCAAACACACATTTTGTCGGGTTTATTTGACCTCGTACGTCGTCTAGACTGTCCTGTCCTTATATTTTTCGAGAGCTTGCGTAATCTACATAATATTCTACGCAGTATGAATACATTTCACAATAATATGCCATTTATTCTTATTACTGTTTCATATTTTTTACTGTGATTACTCTTTCATTATGACTTTTGTAAGTTGAGATTGCATTCCATCTTTTTATTTCCACATAATAATAAATACTGCACGGTTTCTTCGGTGGCTGGGCAACGTGTCGCGGGTTCGATTCCCGCACATAGCAACTCTTTGTGTAATCCACAAATTGTTGTTTTAGGTCTGGGTGTTATGTGTATGTGAACTTATTATCTAAGGTTGACTGTTAGAGAATGCCACTAGGCATTAAGTCCGCCTTTGTATACCTACATGAAGTGTAAATAAAAAAAAAAAAAATAAACTTATATGTTTGTAAATGCACCCACGGCACAGGAGAAAATGATAGTGTGGGATAACGTTTCAAAAAAAAAATGTAACGTATTCAAAACACATGGAGCAAAGAAATGGAGCATTTTAAAGGTAAATAAATTGCGTTTTATACGACATTATGTTACCAATTAATAAAATACTTGTATCAGAATATATTTATTAAGAAATGAAAAAGAAACAGTTGCTTTAAGGCTCCGTCGCTAGAGTAAAAGTTCTAATCAAAGTAAAACATGTATTATGCTAGTAACTTGTAAGATTGTGTATGTTTAGTAGCTCTACCAATAATTCCGTCTCCCACTGTATGTTTACCATGGCATTATCATTACCCGCAGCGAAGATTGATGTCGTCAATCAAGTAAATTGGGGGCGTAAGCATTACGCATTACCCTGACTGGTCTATACAAATGTTGCGTATTCAGCAACAAGAAATCCAATAACACGATGTAACATCACGACTTTTGTTCTCTGGCGATGTCAGCAGAGGCTACATTTTGTAGCTATGTAAAAAATATTATGTAATTATATGTATAATTAAAGAGTTGCAAAAATGTTTTAAATTCTACGAATCGCTCTTTGCACGTACATTCTGAATAATATATATATGTCGTAGGATAATTTGATACTTCGAATCTTCGCGGAAATCCTAGGGGTTTTGCGAAAACGCGGATAATTAGACATAGGCGAAAAATTATCAAATCTTACTGGACAAAGTCAGGATTTTTGTGAAAATACTCGTTACTATAGTAAGATTTGATGTGCTCAACACTGATTGGCTACAATTTTGCTGGCTGACTTCTAATTGGTTCCTAGTTTGCCGATGATTAACTTCAAGTATTGTATCATAGAGTTATGAAGGTTTAGAATAGGTGAGAAAGGAAAATCACTAAATTGGTTTTTATAAACTTTTTATTGAAAATTTTAGTATGTATGTTGTTTTCTACAGACAATAGGAGATCTCAGTCGTAGTAAAAAAAAATGATCCAATTTTAGGGTATAATTCATAAATTGGATGAAACTGATCGTTTAAGACGACGAAAAAACATTTAAGACGTCAACCAATCAGAGACGATCTCTTATTGAACGCGCTGACCGACCAATCAGCGTTCTTATTTCATAACAGCCAGCGTTTCGTTTCGCAATCTTACTATAGTAACGAGTATTTTCGCAAAAATCCTGACTTTGTCCAGTAAGATTTGATAATTTTTCGCCTATGTCTAATTATCCGCGTTTTCGCAAAACCCCTAGGATTTTCGCGAAGATTCGAAGTATCAAATTATCCTACGACATATACAATATTAACAGTACATCTATACCAATATTATAAAGCTGAAGAGTTTGTTTTTTTGTTTGTTTGAACGCGCTAATCTCCGAATCTACTGGTCCGATTTGAAAAATTATTTCTGTGTTGGATAGCCCATTTGTTGAGGAAGGCTATAGGCTATAAAATATCGCGCTACGATTAATAGGCGCCGAGCAGAGCGAGTGAAACCGCGCGGAAGTAGCTAGTAACATATATAACACAAGTATAAAATTAAACAGTGATTTCATAGAGTACCTATCTCCATTGGAAATTAAACTTTTCCTTTGTTTAATAAATAAATAACTTTTACGAAGCTGGAGAGTTTTCCGTGAAACAAAATTGTTTTTCATCAAAGTTTTGCTTGACAACTTTTTCGTGTCCCGAAGGTAAAGTAGGAACCTCTGTCAGTGCCTATGGACACAAATACTTGGGTACTGTATATGTACTTGTTTTTTATTCTTATGTTTTATGGATATGCTGATAAACGAGCAGATGGATCACCTTATGGTAAGCAATGGGCGTCACCCATGGACACCCGGAACATATAGAGATGTTTCAAGTGCGTTACCGGTCTTTGAAAGATTAGGAATTCGAGGATTGTTGGGTATCCGGCGACTGGAGAGATTGGTGAGGGGGGGATGGTAATTGGGCCTCATTCATACGACGAAATACAATGCTAGCTTTGATTGTCGTGGTGTCACTCCGGTCGACCCGGCCCATTCGTACCGAAACCTGGCTCTCTCACACTTAAACTAAAGTAACTATTATAACATTTTGAGACATAACCAGTATTATATACTGGATAACAATAATGATAATTTAGAATTTAGATGACCGTCAATTATTTTTCTAGTGCCCAGTCATGTCAGATATAACCATTCGTATCATTCTCATACTCATTATTGTTTTACAAGCTGTTGTGTCGCAATCGTGGGTACAAGCGGTGAAGCGGACTGTAAACTACGTTTGAAAAACCAACACTTCTTTTTTTATTTATTTTTTAAATTCGTTTATTAATATACTAAAACCTTCTGCTATGTGTAACAAACACTTTTCTGAAAACCGCATCAAAATCGGTTCAGCCAATAGCATAATAATCGTGCACAAACATACATACATACATATGAAGTCAAACTAAGAACCTACTTCTTTTTTGAAATCGGTTAAAATAAAACTTATCTTGAAACCACTCTGCCTGGTACTCACAACAGAATGATTGATAGATAGTCGATACCCACTCAATTGTTTTTGCTGCCAAGTTAGAAAAGAAAATTATGTGCCAAGACTGCTAAAGAAACTGGCAAATGGTGACAAAATGGGCCGCGTATCTGTACCGCGTATAAAATATTTATCGATGACAAATGACATTAAAGATAAGAAATAATGAAAAATTTTTGGTTCATTTCTCTGGAGATGGAACAAATTTCTTAACACCCTAAATATTGGTAAGGATTGAGTTAAAAGAGAGAGAGTGATTAAATAGTGATTGTTCATTTCTAGAAACGTCTCTTGACTGTTTTATGACACTCGTATGTCGACATTTTAATAATTGTGTACTCATACAGCACTGATTTGTATACTCATCAGTCATGATTTCACGATGTTAGTAAAAACTAATTCCCCCTACCAGAGCTTGAAGGACATCTGTTATTTTCTTAAGTCTGGTAACATGGTAACCCATTACACACGCACACATAAACATCCCACTGTCAAATTGGTGCTTCAATCATTTCTAAGTGACATTATACACGCCTTTTTAGTCAACGTCCTTGGAAACCAAGAATCTTTACGTTTCGATGCATTTAACCTAAAGGTAAAATAACATAACATAACATCACGCCTTTTTATCCCCGAAGACGTAGGCGGAGGTGCACATTATGGCACTTAATGCCAATGTAACATCCACTTTTCACTATTATGTTATGAGTCCCATGTAATAGGGGGTGTCACATTTCCAGACTCCGTGCTACTACTGAGAATTTTAAAAACCCAATAATACTTTGCCCGACCTGGGAATCGAACCCGAGACCCCTTGCCCGGCAGTCGCACTTGCGACCACTCGGCCAACGAGGCAGTAAAGGTAAAATAATCAGTATAAATAAAACTCAACCTTAACACACGAGGCACGAGTTCGACAACTTTGTGAATGTTAGAACTAAGTTTAAATGGAACATCGTTTCAGTTTTTACCCTTGTTAGTTCCGAATGAAACTCACTTCACACGAGTAGTTATAGAAAGAATTCTCACAGTTTATACCGTAATTCTTTATTATGGCGTTCCTTATGTACTATTATGCTCATATATATCTTAAGTATATACATTACATACATACATAATCTCTCGCCTGTCTCTCATGGGCGTTTTCTTACATACCTCTTTCGCTTCATCCTTCATCAATCAGTCTTTTCATGCATTATTCAAGTATCTAATGTTAATTATTCAATATGATTACTAGGAAAACCAAACTTATTCATAGAAAACCAATCCCAATGGAATCTTACAGATAATCTCATAATACGGCAGTCCCGCTATATACTGCTGGATAAATACGCTAAATACTGTTACAGCTGGAGTATCATAACTGATTTTTGCAACTTATTATAATTTTCACAAATTATCGTATTCAAACTTCTGCTATCCCAACGCGTATACAAATCGTATTTAAGAGACTTGCTTCAGCTTACCGATATCTACTAATATAGTGAAAAAGGTGTAATTCAGGAATAATAATTTACTAGAGAAGTAGCAGATCAAACTACTACAATCTGTCAAATTAATTCATTAGATTTTCGACTTTATGGATCAATAAAATAAAGCTGAAAACGTTATAGAGAAATTTGAGAGAAAAGGATAGGTGAGCCTGCTGGTCACCGCACCTACTTTGTGTAAAAATTAGAGAGCTCCCTCCAAGAACG